GGACAAACCCTCACCGACTCGTCGAGTCAGGCCATGGACTCGGCGAGTCCATTCGATCAGCTTCCTCATTCAAACGATTTAAGGCAGATCCATCACCCCAAACACTAGATCTACCATCCTAAGGGTCGATTGTAACGTAAAGTTGCAAGCTTTACGTTATAACATGGCATATAAAGCTCATAATGCCAATATAACTCTAACAAGGATGATTAACCACAATAACTCTTCTATGGTTAACTAAAGCTATAATCTTTGGACTCTCTGGACCTTACAAGGTCCGTCTAGGCCTCAAGAGAGACCTTATGCATACAAAGTCCCAACAATGGTGGAAGAAACCCTAATCTTCCATATTTACAAGATCTAAGCAAAATAACAAGAAATGTGCAAGCTTTTACCTCTTACTCAAGCCCTTGCACGAAGTTACACCAGATCCACTGGTTTTCTAGCTCCCTTGATGGGTGATCTCCTCTTCTCCTCAAGAGATGCACTAATCTACTCCATGTTTTAGCTTTTAAGACTCTCATGGCTCTCTATACACGTTTAGGGTTTGCTCTCAAGGAAGGGTAGCCGCAAATGAGGCTATAAGTTCCTTTAAATAGGTCCCAAACCCGGGAAATTAGGGTTTCTCTGCCAGCACCTACTCGGCGAGTCAGCTCTCTGACTCGTCGAGTCCAATCATTAATCCCACGTGGACACTCGACTCTACTTGTAACACTCGTGTTTCTAGCCTAGGCATTAATATTAAGGTGATAGTCTAGGTTAACCTTTGTAACTCATTTTGAAGAAATGAAAAAGGAATTATGTGAATTCTATGTGTTTTATGTGTTTTATGCTTAATTACTAGGAGTTAATTAATTAAGAATAAAAATGAGCGTCAAAATTAAATTTTAGATAAAGCCGATATCTATTAAGAAATTTGTAGTGGTCGTGACAAGGATTACGGATATATAAAAAATGCCGAATCCGAGTTATAACGAAAAAGTTATGACATGTCGAAGTTTCACGACAAAACCGGCTCGGTGCTGAATGTCGTAAAAAGTGAGTTTTCGATAAACTACTTTTTGGCCTTAGTGATCTAAACGAAACTTGTAGTGTTCGTTAAACCGAGAGTAGGTATAAAAAGAACGCCCAAATCTGACTTCGTATGAGGAAGTTATGATTTTTCGAAGTTTCAGCTTAGCAGTAGACAGCTAAAAGCTCGAATTTTAGATCGAGTGATTTTTAGCCGACACGACCTAAACGAGAATCGACGGTCTCGTCTTAGTAGCACGACGGTAAAAAGTCTGACGAAAACGGACGCCGGATGAAGAAGTTATGAATTTTTAACGGATTTCCTGTCCCGGTCTGTTAAAAATAATAATATAAAAATTAAAGTCAAAACTAGCCAACGAAGTCTAAACGAAAGTTGTAGAGCGTAATTTTACCTACGCGTGCATATAAAGAACGTCAAAAACGGAGTTCGTATGCGAAAGTTATGGATTTTAGAAGTTTTGGCGCGAAAATCGAGAAAATTCGCATAGTCACGTTTTGCCACGTCACCTTCGCTGAAAGAGTGCCACGTATCCGAGATTGGTGAGTCATGCGAAGCCACGTGTCACCTTCCCTCGCATGAACAGTAGCTGCGTGTCGGATTCTGATTCGACCGAAGGGAGGCCCAATCCGAAGCTCGCAGCTGGACCGAGCCTCGCACGCCTTAGCCTCCGAGCTTCGCACATGGACCACTAGACCTCGGTCCAATCAGCAGCTGCCACCAAGGCCTTCGCACGTGCAGCCACCTGCGCACCTTCGCCTGCGGACCCCACCACCAGAACCGACTTCGGACCCCCTATAAATAGAAGGGTCCTGCGAGCCTTCTCGGGTACTTTTGGGATTTCACCATTTTTCACCCCTTTCTTCATATTTTCTTCATCTTAACATTCCCCAAAGCCCCGGTATCGACTATAAGCCCCGGAATACGCCACGAAGTGCCCGTGAAGCCCGGAAAATTTATCTTTCCGGTTTCGAAGCCCGACTTTTGCAGAGCCCGGTTTCTCAATAAAACTCCCGGTTTTATTAGAAACGATCGTTTTAGGAAACGAATTGCTGTCCGATTTTCATCAAAACATGTGAGTGTGTAGTTACTTTCAATTTACACATAGATATGAAGTATTTATTATAAAATACGTGTTGTGTGTAAATATGTTATTTGTTTATTTGAGGTGACTGTTGAATTGATGTTTTATACAAGTTTTAAACTGTATATATATTTTATCTACAAATATGTTGGGTAGAACATGGGTAGACAAAATAGTCGGTGGGTGTTAAAATGATGAGAGGCCTCGGTGTCGGTGTTGTTGTTGGTGTTGTTGTAGTCGTCTAGCGGAGTATAGGTGACGATCACGGACCTTTCTAGACAGTCCAGTGGTACACTAGCAAGTTCGCAACTTGTAGGTGTTGATGAACTAAATGTTCATTGGTGTACTCCAATCCCCCTCATGGTTGCCTTTAGGACATGTATGGCTGAGGAGTCCCCTTAGCAGTAGTGTCCAACCCGATGATATTCCTTAGGATAAGTCCCTTGTGTTAGGTGTTTAGGGACGTAAAGTGAGGACAACGGGAATGGGTAATCAGGGTTATTGTTGATTGGTGAACTTAATAAGTTATTATTATTGTGGGTTGAAAACCCTATATGCTCACCAGGCTCCCAAGCCTGACCCACTCAGCTTTTTATGATTATAGGTAGTGGACCCCGAGCATAGTCGGAGGATGATGAGAGATTTTTGGATTATAGGCCAGTAATTGTAAATAACTGTTGAAAGGCTTATAATGTCTTTTTTATGCTTTTGATCTGTATTGGAACATGACATCCTGAGGTTTTGATATATATATGGGAAATATATACCTTCTTAAAGAAGGGTTTTGATAAACATTATCATGTTTTATATTGGGGAAGTATTCCGCAATATCTTTTGAAAAGATTTCTCTGATTTTATTTTAAAAAGCATAAATTAAATCGGTCTTTTCTGGCCGAGAAATTAGGGGATGTCACACTATTCAACGAGTTGGACTCACAACTCGTCGAGTCACTCCAAAAACCTCAATATTAATCACACAATAATATACCTGAAAGTCCGGATGTTACAATATTTTTAATAGAGGCTTGATGATTTCTTACATTAGCATCAGTAGCATCATGCCTTTTTTTTCAGATGCTTCCATAAAACTATGAAGTGCCGACTCGAAATCTATCTTCTTTTCGGGTGGTGGTTGCTCTTTTTGGTAGAAACCTCGATCGGTGTCTATATTTTTCATCTTTTTTTGCTTCTTATACTTTTCATAAGGCAACCACTCCTTTTTAGGCTTCCTCTAATCTTCATCATACTTGTCACCACTAGATTAAAACACTTGTGCCTTCTTATTCCCATTCTCATCCACATCACAATCCTTTGTCAAGTGTGGCCCGCTACAATTATCACACACAACTCTTATGGCATGAATGGATTGATCTAATTTCGTCATTCGCCATCCATATTTTCTAACTTTTCCAAAACCGCAGCCATGTTTTTGTTCCCTCTATCTCCTTTACCTCTAGTAACATCCTCTCGTGAGTTGTGGTACTCACGTGAGTGCTTTACAAACTCTTCAATCAATTCCTTAATGGTTGTCGACTCCTTCTTCGTCATTGGTCCTTGCGAGTCAAGAAGTTGTCTAGTCGTGACATTTACTCCATCATAGAAAATGGACACTTCTTTTTAGACATTCAGATTATATTGAGGACAACTTCTAAGCAAACCCTTGTATCTCTCCCATGCTTCATACAATGACTCTCCAACCTCTTGTTGAAAATTAGCAATATTCTTTTTGAGCTTTGAGATCTTTGAAGGTGGACTAAATTGCTCAATAAAAGCATCACGAAGATTGTCCCACGTGTTAATAGTTCCGGGTGCAAGGGACTTCAAACAAACTTTAGCTTCGCCGGTAAATGTCACCGGAAGCATCATAAGTAACACATATTCTTTTGGCACATTAGGAACATTGAAGTAGTTTGCAATGTCCTTTACTTCATCAATATGCTTGAAGACGTCTTCATACTCTTTTCTTGCGAAAGGTATATCTTTGAGCATCGATAGAATATGCCCTTTGAGCTCAAAACTTCTTTTAGTTGGTATCTCGGGTGGAACTAGACCTGGTCCATGTTCTTCACGTATCCTCTTCTTGTAATCTCCCATCGTCATTCTCGTGATATGTGCCATCTCTTCCACCTCACTCTTTATCTCTTCCTCGTTTGAAATTTTTTCGGTAGATGTTTTCTGGCTCGTATCCAATTCCCTTCTTATCAGGCGTCCTCTCGAAACTTTCGAATCCCTTGTCCGATTGAATAGTGTTTGTTGACTCGTTGACTTTCTTGTTCTTCCTTTTGTGAAAAGTCGATTCTGGATCTTGAAGTGGTGGAACTATTGAAGTTTTAGATCCTCAGGTCATAAATCACTGCAATAAAAACAAAACAAAGCAAAAACACATAAAAATAATAAAACTTAATAAATTAAAATTAACTGAGACAAGACTATGACGTGGTTGCACCTCGGAGAGAAAAATAAAACAAATTGAGAGAGAAAGGAAAATTATTTGTCATTAAAGCCCCGTTCCTGAGTTCAATTTAGCGAGAGAAAGGAAAAGAAATGAGTGGAAATGAGAAAAAAAATAAAAGAAATTGATGTTCCCGAGTTTCATTAAAGGAGGGAAGTGGAAGGAAGTGAAGGGAAATAAGATGATCATTTTTCCTTCTGACTTTTTCTCCGATTTGAGAGGATTTAGAAAGAAAGAACAAAATAATTCATTTTCCTTCCACTTCTCTTCAAGTCGCGAACACCAAAGAAAATTCTGTTTTCCTTTCATTTCTCTTTTTTTCTTTTCTCTCCTCTCCTTTTCGGTTGTTAATCTCGGGAACAAGGCGTAAACATTTTCACTGTTATATTACGTATTTTTTTTCTCGTAAGGAACACGTCTTCAATGAAAAAGACATGATTTTTGTTTTCTACCGGGGAAACGGAACAGACATCACAGAAATTATCTTACCCAAATCCCTCTCTGCCTCTCCTCCGTTATCACCTAACCCTAAGCTGAGTTTCCCTGTCTTTCCGTTTTCAATGGGACAACAAGACTCAGGATCGTGTCTCACCGAAGAAGAGGATACTAAATTCAGCGATTCCCTTGAAGAATTCCCCCTCTTAGAGGCTTCCAACTCTATTGAGTTTGAATACTTAGTCCCCCAATCCAACTCTTCATCAGTTTCTGAGATCGATGACAACTACTGGGACTCAATTTCAAACCTATCAAAGCACACGCCGGAGTCGCAATCATTCCCTTCCTATACAGGTGTCCGACGCCGTCGACACATTCCCCGACAAAGTTCGAAAGAACATCCATTGTCTCCTTTTAAAAATAGTGCCGATGGTTTAGTAGATTTGGATGTTCATGAATCTATTATTTCTCCGGGAAAGAAGCACAAGTTGTTATGGAATTTGAAGGATACTGAGAAATTGAATGGCAAACTGAATCTTACTAAAGTCCGTGCTAACTCAGACAGCGTTGGGAAGCGATTTGCCGATGCAACAAGTGTGAATTCCTCAAATTCTAGCGTAATCACCACTGTTACTGCTGATGAAAATGTCAGTGATGAATCTGTTATGGTGGATTCACCGAATTCTGGTTCGAATTTGCTTTTCACCTTAGCAGGATTAACACTCAGAGCTATTTCATTTCAAGTAACTTTGTTAGTTGGCTTTGTCACATTTCCCATATGGTTACTGCATTCATCTTACCTTTTTCTTATCGATCCTTTCGCCATTGTGAAGACTGCAAAAGGTTACCTGATAAGAAACATTTCAACTTTTTTAAAGTTCTGCTTTGGTAATGTCAAAAGGGTTTTGTTTCAATGGATCACAGGAAAAAAATCAACATGGAAGTTATGTCTGCAAATAGGATGGGGATTGTTGTGGTCAGCTTTCATTGGTTTCATTTTGATTGGTTTAGTAGTTTTCTCGCTTGTTATTAGTGGCACAATAATGAAATTCATCACGGAAGTGCCTTTTCATAAAGTCGAGCAATTGAATTTTGATTATACTCAAGATACTCCCATGGCTTTTGTGCCAATAATGTCTTCTCAACAGCCATTTTGTTCGGGTTGTGATGAAAATATAAAATTTGGGGATGTTGCTCAATCACGGATTATACCTCATGATCACAAACTACAGGCTACTGTCTCTTTAACCTTGCCAGAATCATACTACAACAGAAATCTTGGGATCTTCCAGGTATTGAATAAGCTTCTGCTATAGTTGGGTATACATTTGGAATTAGACTGGTGTAATATGATGAAATAGAAGTATCATGCATTGATGCTTTAATGCACAAATAAATGAAAGTATCTTGTTATTTCTTGTATCTAACTCTTTTATTTATGATTGAAAGCAAGAAATAGCAACACACAGTCATTGATTTAGTTGTTATTATAGGATCCTACTATCATGTATTCCTATTATGTCATTGTACTTTGAATAATCTACCCAGTTATAGCAATACCATTCGAATATAAAGCAATTTACACTGTTGTAATTGGGTTGGCTTTTTACAGTATAATATCTTAATGTGATTTTTTTCTTTTTTAAAAGCAGAGTGCCATAACCGGGTGGAATTGTCAAAATATAAAGCCTTATGAAGAAAAAAAAAATTAAAAGTATAATGCTTAATAGAATGAAAAAAAAGTAGGATGACATAACACTGAAAATAAATAAAAGTGTGTTGCTATTTCTTGCATTTAAGCCTTATATTTATCTTGAGGTGATCCTTCGAAGAAGCTGAGTGTCAACCTTTTTCGCACATACTTCAAAATAAACAAAAGGGTTTAAATGCGAGAAATAGCAACATACTTTCATTTAATTTAATTAATTTTTATTTTTTCGTATATGCCTGTGATTGAACCCAAGACCTCCTTGTTAGAAACACCTTGTTAGCCAAGTGGGCTAGACTTGCTATGTTTCTTGCAATATATAATAAACGAATTAACCGAAGTACATTGCTATATTTCTTACAATTTGACCATTGTAAATCAATCTTTCTTTCAAGGTACGGGTAGACTTCCTCTCTGAAAGCGGAAAATTCCTTGCAACCACAACACAACTATGCATGCTACATTTCAAAAGCCCTCCTATTCGCCTTCTAACGACGTTTCTTAAACTCGCACCTTTAATCACCGGCTACTCATCGGAATCCCAAACCGTAGAAATCAAATTTAGAGAATACACAGAACGGAAAATCCCAACTTCCGGTGTGAGGGTGGTGCTGGAACCACGGGCACAATTTGCAAAGGGCGGCGGTTTGCCAGAAATATACACCGCGTTTCTTAAACTCGAGTCTCAACTTCCCTTTTTCAAAAGGATTTTGTGGTCTTGGAGGATAACGATTTTCGTGTGGATTAGTATTGTGGTGTTTACAACGGTGTCTTTTTTCGCTTTCCTGTGTTGCTCACCGGTGTTTCTTCCACGCCTACGGCCGCCAGGTCAGAGGGTGGTGCCGCTGCCGCCGGCTGATCATGCTTCCCGCCGGGGTTCAAAGTAGCTGTTTGGATCCATATCATTACTTCCTGGTATGCTGCACAACCATTTCTCTGATATATATATATATATATATATATATATATATATATATATATATATATATATTATGTCATCTCTTTCATTTCTTTCTATTACAACAGTTTACTTTTGATTTTCTTTTAACTTATTATAGCATTGTACTTGCAATTTCTTTACATACTATAACCAAGTGAAAATAAATAGTTATATAGCACTAAATAGAAGAAATAGTAATGTAGTTTGCAATAAGAAGAAATGGAAGTAGAATGCTATGATAAACAATCAATGGAAGTACATTGCTAGTTCTAGCATTTAACCCTAATTATATGTTATTAAAGGTTCTTGTCCATTTGTTTTAGGAAGTTTACTTCTTTTATAGATAATACCAACTTCTAATTTTTTCTAGTTTTAGCTACCAATTATAAGTTGTTCCAATTCTACTACTTGGGTGTTATTATTTTTGAAGTACCTTTTATTATAAATGAAATGAAATTTATACTATGAACCAAGTGAAAACACAAAAAAGAAAAATATTTCTTGTCGATTTTCTTTTTAGGAATATTTGTATAGATAATAGCAACTTACTTCTAGAATCTTCAATTTTATTCCTCACTTTATTGAGCAGAAACACGACAACGAAGAAGATGGAGAAGAAACTACTGTGGATAAAACCCAAAAAGGTATATATTTATGTATTGGGTATTCAAAATGGATTCTTCATGTATAATGGTACTGTGTTTGTGATGAAGGTTGAATAATTAGGGTTTGCAATAGCTTTTTATTTGTTAGTATGTTTACGGGTTGAATTGTATATAAGTCGATGATCACTACTTATATTCAGAAATCAAACAAATTCTGCATATAAGGTGTTGTATTTTTGTATTTTTGGGCAGGAAATACAATATGAATATAGTGTTATTAAAGATAATGTGGACTTATAAAATTGTGGATTATTCTGTTAAGAAATGTGAAAATTGTACACTTCAGTGAAGATTTAAGTGAGTGTCTTGGAGAAAATGAACAAAATGATTGAGGGGAAAACAATCAAATCCTTTTTTAACCCAGATTTATGTCTGAGGCTGAGGCTACAATACAATACTTGCTTGTCCCATCTGTCACGTTCTTTTTAGCAGGTGTGAATGTCTCCCCTTGATAAAAGTCCATTCTCATGTTTAAATGGAATGAGAAATCCCTTGTGCATTTGAAAAGTTTTCACCAAGTTTTATAGATATCTCTAGGACTTGTTAAACCCCCAAAATCTACCCGAATTCCATGTCCTTGCTGCATTGATTTCACTTACTAATCGATTTCAATGTTAGCATGAATCGCCCCATAATACCGATTTCTCTTTTCCAATTTGGAACTTTATTACTTGAGTTCCCCAATTAGTGTGAGTAGTTAACCACTGCATTCCTAATATTCACTCCTGAGTTACCCAACTTGAGAGCAACAATTCTTCAACCACTTTCAAATTCCAATCCTTGCATAATCATACACTCATCTTCTATTGACTTCTATCCCCATTCCAGTTGGAATTTGTAACTTTCTATTCTTTTAGTTGGAAATTTCAAATGCTGATACGAAATTATGGGTGGCCCCACAAACAATTAAAACGGCCACTCTTTGTTCGTTGATCTCTTACCCTCCGACTTTCTACTTCTCTGGATTCAAATGCACCTATACCTTGTCTCTTATTTCCACAGTTTCTCTAGTAATGTATGCATCTTCATTTGTCTCATTATTCGTAGCACTATCTTCTTCCAAACTTAGTTCTTTTCTTTTACATTTATGACCCAAAGTAAATTTCTCATCGCAGCAAGGATAACACAAACCTTGAGATCTTTACTGTTGTAACTCAAACTCAGAACATATAATTGGCGCACACTTGAAACTAAAATAGTTTGATACTTTTGTTTCACTGTGATTACCTTGAGCTTGTTTGTAATTCCACGCTTTTATAACACTTTGTTGATTAAGAACAATATTTCTTTTTAATATTGTCTACAAACTCAATTGCTTCACTTACATTATCAAGGGGCTTAGCTTAGCATTATAACTATTATTAATTAGTTTATTTTTATTGATCAGTATACAACCTACTAACCAAGTTTCTTGTTTAAAAAGGGGAAATCTCCAGAAAAGTTCTAAAATTTTACCCTAATTTACGAAAAAGTCTCAAACTAAATTTTGTTTACGAAAAAGCATGAATTACCGGTAAAAATGGCGATTTGACCCCTTTTTTCCGGTTTACCGGTTTTATTACTTACCTGTTTCACTAAAGTCCCATTATTTTACCCTAATTTGTGAATAAGTCCCAAAATAAAATTTACTGATGATTTGACCATTTTCTCTATGTAACATACATTTTACCGGTTTCATTGTTGACCCGGACGCCTAGTCATTAAATGAGATGATGAGATAGATATGTTGAGTTATATAATGTTATGTTTAGCATAAAACTTGATATCCAGATGTATTGTATATCTTTTTGGAACATAAAATGCATCCAACGAAGACTACAATAATCACATAAACTAACAACAACTGCGTTATTTTTTTACGTTTATAAGAAATATCAAATTATCTATCTAATCTTATGTAACCCAATATATTCATCTCATGAGACATCAACTCATTTTCTGCCCTTTTTTCTTAGAAACACACACTTTATTGGTTTCATTGCTGACGTAGATACATAGTCATAAATGAGCCGATGAGATGGGTATCAGATGGGTATCAAATTTTACAGTAAATGTGACATTATATAACTCATCTTATTCATCTTATCAGCTAATAGTCATTAAATGAGATGATGAGATAGATATGTTGAGTTATATAATGTTATGTTTAGCATATAACTTGATATCCAGATGTATTGTATATCTTTTTGGAACATAAAATGCATCCAACGAAGACTACAATAATCACATAAACTAACAACAATTGCGTTATTTTTTTACGTTTATAAGAAATATCAAATTATCTATCTAATCTTATGTAACCCAATATATTCATCTCATGAGACATCAACTCATTTTCTGCCCTTTTTTCTTAGAAACACACACTTTATTGGTTTCATTGCTGACGTAGATACATAGTCATAAATGAGCCGATGAGATGGGTATCAAATTTTACAGTAAATGTGACATTATATAACTCATCTTATTCATCTTATCAGCTAATTTAATGACTAGGTGTCTAAGTCAGCAGTGAAACCGATAAAATATATGTTACATGAAGAAAAGGGTCAAATCATCAGTAAATTTTATTTTGAGACTTATTCGCAAATCATGGTAAAATAATGGGACTTTAGTGAAACATGTAAATAATAAAACCGGTAAACCGGAAAAAAAGGGTCAAATCGCCATTTTTCTTTTTCGTAAACAAATTTTAGTTTGAGACTTTTTCGTAAATTAGGGTAAAATTTTAAGACTTTTCTGGAGATTTCCCTTTAAAAAGTTAAGAGTAATATTATTTATAGGATATAAGGGTTAGAGTTTTGGCAGCCAAAATATGAGTTTTCAAACCTTAAGGTGGTGTTTGTTTTTGAAAAATCTTATTTTAGCACTTATGTTTACAGATAGGAAAATATTTATGTCTGCGTGTTCTCACAGACTGTTTGTACTAAACCAAAAACTACTTTTCTTAGACATTACCATATCGCAGGTAATAACGGAACATACAAAACAAACTCACATACCAGTGTCTTAGTAACCTTGTGACTCTCTCTGATCCAAGTACGAATCATATGTGTGACAACCCGAAATTTCTATTCTGTATAACATATCAAGTCAATAGAAGTCAAAACAATTACTGTTAAATTTTCAGACTTTTTGGAATGAGTTTGAGTATTTTAGGATTTACACTTTAGGAGATATTAGGAGAGAGGATGCCTTAGGGTTATAGTGCAACACTGTTATTCCTAAACTCCAAGAAATTGGAGTTTACTGCCTGAATAAAATATTTACAGCCAAAAACCCTAAATTTGAGAGAATATATATGACACTTAGTCATTTTATATCATTTTACCAAATTCTCAAGAACAAATATCAAATCCTCTCAAGTATCATCCAAGTTTTATTCAAGATCTTCAATCTAGTAAGTGTTTCTAGCCCTTTTAAGTTAGTATATCACTTAATCTAGTGATTTAACACACTTCTATCCGTTAGATCTTTCCAAAAGATCAAATCTTCAAGTTTCACCAAGAACACCAAGAACACACACTAGTGTTCTTGGACTTTTGGCTCATTTCAAGCTTCTATATTGTAAGTACTTCTATCCTAGAGTATGTTTAAGCTTGCTACACATCTTTACATCAAGAAAACACAAGGAAACACCAAGATCAAAGGTGTTTACGGTCCAAGAACGCCTTGGACCGTAAACCCTTCTTAAGGGGCCAAAGTGACCCTAGTCCTTTCCTTAGCCTTGGAAACTAGTCTAGACTTATACCTTAATGTGTTTAGGACTTGAAAACATCAAAATACCATCATCCATAGGGGTTTACGGCCGTAAACCCAAAGGGAAATGGTCCTAGGGCCGTAAACTCCAAATAGGAGTGAAATGGTGCCCTAACTTCTTCCTTAGGCTTATACTTCATGAGGAAACACTTCTAAGGACTTAGAAACCTTCAAAACAACAAATGGTCAAAGGGGTGCGAGTTTACGGCCGTAAACTCATGAGTTTACGATCGTAAACTCATGTGGTTATGGTCAAGAAACCGTAAACTCATGAAAGGGGTTCCCTTGAACCCTAAACCCCATAGCTTGGTCCTACAACACTTAGATGCAATCCTTGGGACTTATAACACTTATATAAAGTGTTTAACTTGTCTTAGGATGTCTTAACTTTATAAATTAGTTGTTTAAAAGACTAATTGAATACATATATGTGTATTTATATGTTAAATAGGATCATTGTGTGTGTACAAGTCTTCACTTGACACCTAGCAATCCTATCTCTTCAGTTCATCCAAACCACTCACTACAGGTGAGTTCATACCCCTTAATTAACCTTTTAAATGTTTTTAAATGCTTTTATGGGGGGGGGGATACAAGTTAAACAATTATAGTTATTATATCAATCACATGTGATTAATAACTACCAAACAAATGGTTTTCTTACTTTTCAAACTGTTTATCAAACTGTTTTACCTCAAACTGTCTTACCAACTCTTTTACTTATCAAATACTTTTACTTAAACTCTTTTAAACTTATATTCTGTGTATCTATATAGATATAGTTATATAAGTAGGATTGAAAGGACTTAGGACTGCTAGCCTACCTTACTTCCTGTTCCTTGTTTGGTTGTGGACTTAGGGTATCAAGGTTAGTTGTCCGAAGGTCGTTTAAATCCTAGTTATATATTATGTATATGAATATAGATATAAAAGGTTATTTCTTTCATTCAGTTTCATGCCCTTGGGTAGCAAGGGTATACAAACATGTTCATACATTGCTAGTAAGCTACCATAGGGGTAGTTTAGGAAGAGACTATTACTAGAACAATGAAACATACAATGAGTCAGTTCATACATGAGTCAATACATACTATGATGAGAAACAAACATAATACAGAGTGATGAGAAACAAACAATAGACACTATGACGAGAAACAAACATACAGGCTAGACAGAGAAAGAACACGATACAGCTAGCACACAAATCATATAACATTTACATAAATACATTTATGTGAGCCATTAAACAGGGCATGGCACTACCTGCCATGACTGTTTTTGTATCAGAATCTCCTTAATTGGGGAGCGTATGAGTTTGTGTATAGATCTATACTGGATTGACTATCCTACACCTTGCTGCTCGCTACAGTGGGACTTGCAAGTCTACGGGTGTCAAACATCATTTTTACGGCATCTTACATTGTCGTTTTACTATTGATTCGGTAGCAAGATACAGGCCGATCACATGTTACCTTAAAATATACATTTGGCTTAAGGTAGTTAGTACAGCAGTAGTTACTTAATACATCACTACAGTACTATAACATTTTCCCTTACATTTTACTTTGTGTTATTCACACAATAAACAATGATGTAAAAACTATATTTTTGGTTAATGATAGTCGGATTTGGGAAAATACACACTTTTACAAGAGATACACACACAGACACTAGATGCCTTGGTAGAAGGCTACTTTTAGTAGGAAACATAGGGTTTTCTAGGAGAGTTCAAACAAATACAAACTTTTTACAAACATATACAGTACATTTTACAGAACATCTTACAAATGCTTTCATACAAACACAGACACTAATATACTTATGATCTCACCAGCTTTAAAGCTGATAAACTCTTTCAAAATAACTTGTATTCTCAGGTCACCAGTAGACAGGTACCAGAGCCAGGTTTTGAGAAGATGGAGCTCGTTCCAGACTCATCTTATATTTTTGATGTATATTGTTTTGGTGTCTTTAAAACTTGACAGAACACACTTGTATGAAATTATATTATTAATGCAATGGATGATGTTGTTGCTTGTTTACTACTTGCATTGTTGTGATACTGTACATGACGTCCTCCACCCCAGAACGTTTCCGCCGTTCATAGGTTTTGGGGGTGTGACAATATGCTTCCGGTAGTACACGCCTATACTACATTTCACACATATTCATACTAGTCCCAAGAATTGTCCCGCAATTCCCAAGTCACTACACATGATAACCACAAAGCAATTTAACACATTTGTATGTGTTCAAATGAGCACATGCAAGAAATTTCCTTAGACTCCACTAGGATTTTTGCGTTTCTCCTAGGCGCTCTAACAACCATGTGCTTTCCCACACATATGCCCGATCTAGCATATTCTAATGCCTTTCCTAGGTCACTAGGAATTCCACTTCCAAGCTCTTCATATGAATTCTTTCTCGTATAGTGCCCAGTCAGCATGACATACTACAATTGCATACTCTAGTGGTATGGAGAAGAATGTTCTCCAACTATTTGTACCATCTATTGACACATGCAATTCACCATGCATATCATTCTATCTCTTCACTTCACCATCATTTACTATTTACTTTATAGGAGTCAATCCTAGAAAGTCTGCCTCTCCACTGTATATCTTTCACGTCTACTTCATAAGAGTCAATCCTAGGAAGTCTGCATTTTGGCCACATATCCTTTGACAACTACTTCATATGAGTCAATCCTAGGAAGTATGCATCTTAGCATGTTCTTCTAGCGTTAACTTGGTCCTTTCGTCATCTCTGACACCAACATCTATAACATTCATAAAATTTCAAAAAAATTTAAAATTTTTCCAACCATCCAAAATCATAATTGTTTACATAATAGTTTTCAAAACATGTTTATCATCAGAGTTTTCCCAAAATCCCAAAACATAACATGATGAGGTGCACGATCACCTTCGCCTTTCCGCGATCCTCTGAGGTACCTGAAACATAATCTAAAACTGTAAGCCCAAAGCTTAGTAAGTTTCCCCCAAAGTACCAACACAACACAAAACCAGAAGAATACAATAAACAACATGCATCCAGAGCCTTCAGTCTGACTGGAACGCCCTACCGTCCTACAGTCTATCTGGTACGCTCACAGAACCTTCAGCATAACTGGTATGCCACTTCGGGCCTTCAGCCTATCTGGAACGTTTTCCGGGTCTTCGGCCTGATTGGTACGCCCCTAGCCTTCAGTCTATCTGGGACACCCTGGGCCTGTTGGCCTTCAGCACAAAGCAGGTCCGCCTCAACCCAACCACTCATAACCATGTCGACATATATATGGGAAAACTGAATATACCCGTACGTAAGGTTGTGTACCCTGATTATTAAAACTACGTAGTTTTAATAGATGTTTTACCCTTTTTCCTTATTTTTATGATTACATCGATTCTTTCACATTCTCCCTTTACCCACCGGCGTTCCCATCCGCCGCCACCACCACCACCTATCCCTTTTTCCTCCTCCCTTCTCTCTCTTCACCGGAAAGCTGTATTACACCTCCTCCATTCTTTCTCTACACCTACAAAAGAACAGTAGCCTGCACCTATTTACGGATTCAGACACCGCCGATTCATTCACCACACACTGCCGCATCAAGAACAAAAATTTCTTCCCTTATTTCGCTCACCCCTCAACCTTCACCTAAATCGTACTGTAGTTGTTTACATTTTGGTTTCAATTAAGTTTAGGAGTGTATTCGGCTTCTTCACCTACTTGGTTTTTCTTATTTTGGATAAATATGATGAATGGGTTTAGGAGCTCGATGAAACTGGAATTTAAGCTCCCCTAGCTAATATTTTGACCTAGTTTCGCCTCAATTTTGATTTCTCGCTATGAAATTGTATTGTCAAATGATATCAAGAGAGAAGGAGTATGCTCTAATGAGAGTGATCAGGTAGTTACGCTTTTTCTTCTACCAGATGTATTATGACTACTTACTTCAACATTGCAATCCAGTGAGATGGTCCAACATTCACAAAAATCGTCCGGTCAGAAGATTCGCCACTCTAAAGTCATGAAAAGTTTTACCACCAAGGAAGTGAGCAATTCTATCCCTCTCACAAAAACCTGTTGTTGTTGCTTGTTGCTGACCTATCTGATTGTGTATGTGGCTCAGGTATGGTACTGTAATCATTTAAATGGGCTACTAGGGGAAGAAGATAAGTTGTGCACATAAGGTGCTCGATGAAATGCCCGAGAGAAACTCAACATCAAGTAACTCATCACCTCCTTGTTTCCTATAAACTCCCCATAACTCGTTTTCTTAATAATAAAAAATGTTTTTTCTTTTTTTAGTCTTTTCCTAGCCGGAATGGCTGCATCAGGAGATATAACTTCTGGTTTAAGATTACTAACAGAAGCTATTTTCAATAATTACGAAAATGGCATTCGCAAATGAGCATGTAAAAGAGTAATTAACATTGCTTTTATCGGTTAAAAGAGTAATTACATTGCTATTTCTTGCAACTTGTCTTTTCTAGTTTTTTAATGAAAAAATTCTATTTTTTTTGTTGTTTTTTATCTCAGGTTGAACATATTTCTATTTACTTGCATTGAACAGATTAATTTCAAAAAAAATAATAAATAAACTTTGATATAATGGCCATCAATATGGCTTGAACCTCATCTGTTTTTGCTATCCAACATTAGGGGTATTTTTGGAAATGTCTGTTGATTTATCTTTACTATGCACATGGATCACCATTTTATTCCACACATCATAACATAAGATTTGGTTTTGTGATAAACTTAAAGCCAGAAGATATCAGCTGGATTAAGCCTCATTTGCTTGTTGTGTATTCATTTGTTTGTTTGTTTACAAGAGGTATATGGGGCATAAAATAACAGTTAGACCAAATGCAAAGAAGTTGAGTGCTTTATTCTTGAAAAGAGAGAAGATGTCATGGGGGAGTTTCTCAAGTAAAGTGAAATCAACTATTTTCAAAGAGAGAACCTTGAAGAGAAAAAAGATGATGATTTTTTAGAATAACGGTTTGTTAGCAATTTTTTAGAATAATTGTTTGTCATTTCAAGTCACTTTACTCATTATGTATTTATATATGTGAACCAAATGCAGTTTATCAAGCACCGAGGTTGAATTCGAATTTTTGGGACAGGGGCAAAATCGTCCAACAAGGAGAAAAACCATCAAACTTATGTGTAGATAAACTCAACAGTAACCAGAACATTACAAATTGCACATTAACATATTTTAACACATCATCTCGTTACAACATCTTGAATTGGGTTTCTTTGCTCGAGATTTGGTGGGAATGTTGGAAGAATTAAAAGAGACTTATAAAAACTCTAGAAAACGTTGGGTTGTTGTATAGTAACTAAACCATGTATATGTTGACAAAAAGTGTATAAACCATGTATTGTTTTTGTGGATTGAGCTTTAAATAACAACTTATTATTCATATTTATCCAAAATAGCAATGTACTTATCACTTTTGAATCATAATTTGCAATGCACTTATACTTTTAACAATTGTACGACCTTACTTGTTAGTTGCAGCATAACCAACAAGTTACATTTATGAGTACAAATAGCAACCCACTTTTCAGTTTATATCAGAGATAGTATCATACTTTCATTTTTTCACAAATTAGCATCATACTTTCGTTTTTAATAGCCTACATTCATAAATGCATTTTTATTTCTTTACAAGGTATATAAATAAAACTCGTAAAATGCAGTAATTAAATAACCAAAATAGCCAGAAACCAAGACTTGAGCTTGAATTTAACAAAGTGAGTTTGAATTATATATTCATCAACACTCGAAAACTGTACACCAAAATATCCCCATAGATAACAAAATTTTTTGTTCTCATTCCCATTTCCATTCCGAATCTCTTTTCTCACTGATTCCATTCCAACATTCTCCAATGCTTTCTGCAACTCCCGAATCTGCTCCAATGCTTTATCCAACTCATTAGCACTCGGCATGTATTTGGGTTCTTTCATCAGGCCTTCGATACATGGGTCTATGACGTGAAGAATCTTTCGTTTGCTACTCAAAAAAGGCTTAGCAAATACAACCAATATTTGCTCACCAAATGGACGGTTTTTGTCAATGCATCGCCAACCTGTCAAAAGCTTAAGGAGTACCACACCAAAACTGTATATATGGCTTCTTGCTGCCAAATGACCTTCATAACAATATCACACAAGATTAAGTCAATAAAAAACACTAAATGGCCATTTTACCCTTACATTCCAAAAGACTAATATCAAAATATTAATCAATTTTAAAAATATTCATCAAATGTGAGGAGTTGAAAGGAAAAATAAAGGGAGAGGGAAGAAAGGTAAAAAGGTAAATTACCTATTCAGTCAACATATACATGGTCTATTCACAGTAAAGTGGCAACAGGCTTGATGGTAGTTATAGAATGACTCGGTAATTTAGCCACTTCCACATCTTTCATCTGTCAATTGTATCAGAAATATTAAATCATATTCTACTTTTTAGTTAACATGAAATAGTTGTTGGATTAGTGTCTAAGTCCATAACTATTTTGGTATGTACTTGACCCGATTGTGAGCATGGTCCTTTTAGGTTGCCTTCACACTGGTGACTAGACAGGATGACTGTTGAGGAGAGAGGCTGGTTTATTGTTAAGAATAATAAATTGGGGTATAAATATGATTTGTTAATATATTATATGAATAATATATTAATTTGGAATCATATTATTAATTAGTATTTAATCAGAAATTAATTAGGAATTAATTTCGGGATTAAAGGAATTAATTAAAAGTACAGGTGTTGTTTTGTAATTATTTGATAGTTGAGACTTTGGGCTACTGGATCACCTTTATTAAGGCTTGAACAAAAATCCTAGAAGGATCTAGGAGTTTTCGTCCAAGGGCTTAAGGAAAGGAGTCCATGGACTTGCTTAGGCCCTAAGCTAAGGGATTAGGGTTTCCACCTTGAAACCCTAGCTAGCCTCAAGTATAAATAGCACCCTAAGGCACTAGAATTCGGCCACCCCTTGGGAAAACCCTACTAGAGCCGAATTTTGGAGCTTAGTACCCTTCCTCCTCTCTCTCATATTCATCCTCTCACTCAAAGTGTGTTTGTGAGCCATTAGAGGTACTACACTTGTGGTACTTGCTTTCAAGAGCTAAGGAAACTCAAGGAATTAGTTGTTATTACTATATAACAACAAAAGGTATGTATTCTATTCTCCTATGTCAATTTCGAAAATAGTAGATGCATGCTAGGTTTCCTTTTGTGTTCATAAAGTTGTATGTCTAATAGTGAAAACATAGATCCAATTAGGGTTGCATGCACACATAGGATTGTTTGTATAAAACACATCAGTGGTATCAGAGCCTTTGGTTTTTGTTTTCAATTAGATTTGATACAAATGTATGAATTTGACAAATTAGGGTTTATGGCTAATAAACCCTAGGGCTTGGATTTTCGAAATTAGGATTACAAAACCCTAGTTTTCGAATTGTATTAGGGTTTCCCAAACCCTTTCCTTAGCCACCAAGATTTCGAAATTAGGGTTGTCTAACCCTAGGATTTCGAAATTTGCCTTGTCCCCATGATAAGATTCTCAAATTTTAGGGATTTGGATAATGCCATATCTTGTAATTATCCCTTAATTGTTTAAATAGATAATTAAAGATCTTTTGAATTATCCCATCCCAAATTTTCGAATTTTAGGGGATAAAGGGATTAGGTTAAAATTAATTGTTTACTTTAATAGGTTATCCTACAAGATTTAATAATTTAAATTAATTGTTTAATTGAGATAATTATTAAATCAAAGTTTTAATAAGATTTTAAAATTAAAAGGTTTTAGTTTTCGAAAAATTTTAAATATGATTAAAACCCTAGTATTTTGAAATGTTTAAAATACACCCTTATACTATTATAATATTATAAGAGTAATAATTATATATATGTATAAGATTAAGCTAGTCTTACCGTTAGTAGGCCTCATTCACGAAGCCGATCTATAAGGGGGTATAAGGTTATGGCCTATAAAATAGCCATTTAATGGGTGTCCACTCTCACCCACCGCTTCCTTGATTGGTGGAGGGTCGTTAGCCGAATGGATAGGATAAGGCAACTAATTCCTCATTAAAAGTATAATGATTAATAAAGTAACTAAATGCTTTTATTAAATTCCCAATCTTAGTTACTTTAGGAAAAAGTGAATTTGATGCAATTCCATGAAATTACACTTTGTACCCTTGCTAAGACGTTAGTGGAGCGTGTGTGGTTAACCGCCACACTAATTGGGTTCTAAGCAAAGGTGGCAAAGGGTGACTCAATGTTTGTAATAGTTCGGTGGAGCGTGTGTGGTTAACCGACACATCGAATAGGTGACTGTAACATTGGGGGCACCATGTATATTTGCATGGTTATTCACACCCTGTTTTGTGATCCTCGGCATCCCAGTCACAAATCGAGGGGCATATCGAGATTTAAACATGCCATTGAAAAGTTCAATGAGTCTCAAAAGATCTAGGAGTTTCCAATACATTTAAAACTTAACCTTCTTTTTCATTTTTCATGGTGGAAATTGGTAAATCTTCATTTACTTACCTTCAAATATTCTGCAAATTGGATTACGGCATCCCTCTTCCAGTTTGTAGAATATTGTGATGGGTCCTAGCCTTAATATCTCATTTGGGTGTTTTATTAAGGACTCGATCAACTAACTTGAATTTTCTCCTGTTTTATAGATGTCAAAGTCTCACAACTATGGTCTTCCTGAATCCGTTGGAAAAAGTTTTCCACGTGAAGATGATGTTCCACGATTGGATTGTGGAAATTGAATTCATGCTTCACTTCCTCCACCTCCTCCAATAATTCTCCCCGACCCACGTGTTCAAAGATTTGAAAAGTTCAAGGTCACTCAAGCCCTATTGGCAATAAGACACAAAGATGGAAAGTATGTGTATGCACACGTCTTAAAGATGAAGTCACACATTGACAGGTTAAGGATGTTGGATGTCGATGTCTCAAGGAAGTTGGTTGTTGACTTGGTTCTTCAATCACTTCCCAAATCATATGGTAAGTTCGTTAGAGAGTACTATATGTTGGACCACGACATGACCCTTATTGATTTGACTTATTTGCTTATTGCTGCTGAATCAGAAATGATTTGGCGCATTGGTCGAGCAAATTGGTCTGATAAATCAATATCCCAACCTTCTACGGGCAATGGCAACATTGGAAGTCCAGAAAAGTCTTCTGTACGTAAGAGAAAGGATGAGTCTGAGATAGTCCCGTGTGCCATTCCAGAAGAGTCCATATCTTTCTACTGCCAAAAGAATGGGCATTGGTTACGAAGCTGCCCTGCCTACCTGAGAGATCTAAGAGATGGGAGAGTCAAGATGTATGACTCTGCTTCAGGTAAAATCCATTATTTAACTCCATTAAGTTCCTATTTGGAGATTCTTAATACATGATGTGATAAGATTACATTTGATGTTTTGAAGGATCGAAGAAAAGAAAGGAAGCTTAAAGAAAGGAAGCTTAATACATTTGATGTGATAAGATTATATTTGATTTTTGAGCTGCTGCTTAGAGTTATGATAAATTGCTTAGGAATATGTAATAGCATAGTTTTCATTTGCATTATAAGGATATATTTTTTCCGCAATAAAATAAATTTTGATTTTGTCTTATTTATATTTTCTTGCAATGGCAATTGTGAAAATTGGTGTCTGTGTGTTTCTATTATAAGCAATATTAAATGGATGTGATTCTTAGTTATGTTGTTTATGGTAATGTCATAATTTTCTAAGTAAGGAAAGATTCCCATCGCCCAAGTTTCAATGGGACAGAAGCTTGGAATTATATGATTTGAATCATGTGATGTATGGAAATCTTGGTACTTAGAAAATTTAAGGCCAATTCCTTGACAAAGAGTCAAGTGAAGGACTAGGAGATCGAGTTCACAATGTTGTGTACTGGTCAAGTCCACCATAAATAACAATAACATTATTCGTCATGATTTACTAAAAGTCTAGTAAATGTAGTTATACTTACAAGATTAAGTGTAATTCTGAATCATTGAAAAGTTTCAATGAATGGCAGAACGAATAAGTAGAATCAATGAAGGTAGAAAGATAAAAAGTTTCTCCAATCCAAGAAGAAGGGAGAGTACTTTTGTATCGTGTTTTATGATCATCTTGGTAATCGTAGGAACCATATTACAATTCATCCTCTAAGGACACCTTAGTGCACTAGTTTGGCTAAGAAGAGGAATCAAGAATTGTTGTAGTGGTTAAGTCAATAATATGTATCGTACTTCGTTCCAAAATCAAGTCTTAGAGTCATACTCCAAGATTGTGACTTGAGTGACATAATCTTAAGTA